ACCGAATGCCCCGCTTGTCATGTGTTTTCTACAGGGTCCTGCAATGCTGTTCGATTCCCTCTTTATTCTGGGTTCGCTGCCTTGCTGTTACGAGCTCGATATGGACAGGCTTTTCAGGACAGCTGCTCCACGCTCTGGCTCGACATGAGGAAGACTAGTTTTGTGTTTCTCCATTCAACCGTGCTACAGATAGTCGTGCAAACAGACTCAACTTCGTCATAGAATATTCAAGTTCGTCCGAAGTCGATAGGAAGTTCAAATTCGTGTTGATAGGACTTTTGATTTCGACTTTCTATTAGAAAGTCGAAGTTGAAAGTTTTATGACGAATTCGAAGGTTAGAAAAATTCTAACCTTCGAATTCGTCTAGAATTTTCAATTTCGTCGAGTACACCTTCAGACCTTCGCCTTTTGGGCCAAAAGGGCCAAAAGTTTTGGCAAATCGACTTGGTCTTCCGGAACTCCAATTTTGTGGTACCCGGGGCAATTATGCCAGTACTCTCATGATGGAAGTCTTAACATGATGGAAGTCTTAGTTAACAAGTCTTCTGTGGAAGCTTTCTGTTATAGGCAATTCGTTTATCAAGGTGTTGTTCTGAGTCGAATAAACTAATTCATGGCTTAAAAGCAGTAACACATAGTTATGCGGATTCATGAGTGAGCTATAACGCATGATAATGAAGCACCACGCATGGATGAGCGGTGTCGGCTATGTATCAAACAGAGCATTGAAGTGTATTTTCCACATGCCTGAGATTCTTCAATTAGTCTTTGTTACAGCATGGTCTCATGCAAAGACGTTCTGCTGGAAGTCGCAGATTGATGGGTGGAGGTAAGCCGGTATGGAGAAATAGAAAATCACACTGAATCACGGAAAGAGCTGGAATCACGACTGAGACCGGGCTGTGGTTCTGTACAAACGAATCGTGCGAAACGTGAACCGGACACGGATTCACGGAGGCGGATTAGCCTGGGGTAGCGCCGATATCAGCGAGGTTCACTGATATTCTTAGCACAACTAGGGAACGATTCTCTGAGAATTGCGCCAGCGTAACAGTTACAGTAATGTAGCCTTGATTGTGAATGCGTGAACCGATCTGAAGTCTTATAACTTATAGCAACAACGCTGTCTAATCGCGCGATGCGCTGCAATAGGCGTTCGCCCCAGCGCTCGCCTTATATTATGATATACTATCTCGATGGCACTGAACCACTCGTAACTACATGTATCTCTAGACCATGCATTGTCTAGTCCGCTTCTTAGTTTGTCTAGTACCTCCCCTGTAAGGGGACTTGTACAAGCTTATGAACGAATATTTGACTTGATTGACGTATATACCACTCTATATCGAAGGCATTATCCCCTTCCACTCCACAGCGGACTACTTCTGTTCCACTTTCTATCAGCGCCCGCCTTATTTTTTTCGCGCTCGGCTTTCCTTGTGTAACCGTTTCGTTCCTTCTCCCAGCTTCAACTTCAGTCCTGCCACAGCCTCCCGGCCACCCCAGATCACCTCATGTCATCATTTCATACCCGTTACCTTCTCAGTCATCTATTCACCTCCCTCATGCCTGCTGTCACTCGCAATCAGCTGGCCGTCTATGAGCTGGCTGACCAAGCCATTCTGGTAAATTTCCTGGCGTGCACAGGTTGCCCTGACTTCAAGTGTCTATCAACCTTCTCTCCAACCAGGCTCATCCCGCTACTCGAAGAGGAACCTCTCCTCGAGTGGCTGCAGGCTCATAAGCTCTTGAGCACGCACCTATTATGCAGCTGTGGATTGGTCCGACGACGTTACTCCAAAACCACCAAAAGCGGCCTTCGCGTTTGGTATCTCAGATGTACCAACTCTGACTGTCCTGTCACTGATACTTCTGTCAGATCTGGGATATGGTCAAGAACTTCTCTATCATTCACAATGATGGTAAGCATCTTATCCCTCATCGCCGTCGGTCGACGGCCTAAGGACATCGTCTCTGAACTCGGTGTGTCCTCGCGAAGCGTAACTTGGTGGTTGCAAATAGCACGCCAGGCTTGTTGGCCTCTTCAATACGTCACACGTACAGCAATCCAACAATATACAGTGCGATGAGATGGTGGTAGTGGTAAGCCCAAGTACCACAGAGGTAAACCCATGAGGCAATCCAAGCAGCTAGGTGGGTTGAAACTCTGAAACTCTTGCTGCTTTGGACTACAATGGCCGTGTTAGTGGTGTTGTGGCTAGGCATGTCCCTGATAGGAAAGCTACCTCTTTGGTGCCTCTGATAGAGGAAGTTGCCGCTCCTGGTGCTACTTTAACGACGGATGAGCTGAAATCTTACCTTTCCATCAAGCACTTCAGACCTGACATTCAGCACCAAACGGTGTGCCATAAAAGGCACTTCGTCGACCCTAATACCGGAGTTAATACAAACTCGGTTGAATGCATGAACCGTGGGCTTAAGGATGAGCTGAGACGCAGATTTTATCATCTTGTGGGCAGAACCGATGAAACCGCTAAAGAACGTCTGGCTATCCCCCCGTTCAATAGACAAGGCTGTGTGCGATGCTGGAATCGATTCTCAAAATCGATTTTCGAAATCGTTCCTGAAGTCGTGTTCAATAAACACGATTTTGAAAGTTGAAAATCGATCTCGGAAGCGATTCCAGAATCAATTCCGACGCGCGTTCAGTAGACACGATTTTTAAAATCGATGCCAGCATCGATTCCAGAATGGACAAATAAAGTACGTGAGAAATGAGACTCCCCGGGATGGAACCTGAGGCCACACCTCGACTTCCTCGACTATCCCTGAAATCCGAAATATACCTCTACCAAGATTCGAACCTGAGACACCTGGGTCACAGTATACTAGCTTATCCTACTGAACTAGAGTGACTACTTCGTGAAATAGCAGTTAGTAACTAGTATTTACTGTTGAGCGGTCTACCTATGAACGAGTACCAGTACTTGTCAGTAGGTTGTTTACCTACTGACCCGTTAGTAAGTGGTACCTGGTTGCCCAACCTCAGTACTGCGGTCCTCTAGAGTTGCTCTAGAGGATTGGAGGTGGTTGATTCTAGGGTCCAGACCCGATATATTTTCACATGTCACATCCCGGGATCGAACCTCAGACCTCCCGGTTACTAGCTCAACAGTTGGGGCCCAACTCGCAAACCCTCTCGAGTCTGTTTGGCGGCAAACGTCATATCCCTGCTGAGTATGACCTCTTTTCTTGCTGTATCGCCCCTCATAACCAGTTCGGGACTGGCAATTCTCCAAGGAGAGTTGTTTCTTCTGGACTCCACACGTTTCCCTTCTCGGTGCTCTCCTCTATGAAGCTTCCGTCACGCGCCACGAAATTTTCAGAACCACTCCGAGTGGTTCTGGAATCTGCGATTCTGGAAACGCTCTCAGAATCGCGCACAAGCTCCTTTGAACGCGCTAAGAACCACTTCTGGAAACGTTTCTGGGATCGTTTCCGGAGCTGGTTCTATGAACAGAAAATCCCAGAATCGTTTCTAGAAACGCTTCTCAAGTTTAAAATCGGTCTATTGAACAGGCGGTATGAGCGTGTTCAGTAGGAATTGTGATCTCAAACTTACTCCTATTATACCAACTTTCTTCCAGGCTCTTGCTTTGGCTCATGATGCTCTTACTAATTTATAGGCGGTTGCATTTCACTACTTCTGTTAACGAATAGCTGCACAGTGTCATTCTCAATATCAGTTATAATTAGTCAGTAGATGTTACTGCTTATGTAGGAACTCCATGAGATTTGTCCCATTCAGCTAAGATTGTGCATCTCTGGCACTCTCTACATAGAAACCGCTGGAGTCGTTCTTCAAATGGAGCCATTTGATCTTTGATTAGGTCAGCTTGGTCTTCAAGTGGAGAGCTCTTCTTATTGGTCAACAAGCCTAGGCGTGATCAATACTGATGATAAGGTGATTGCAGGTCACCATAAACTTTGCTTTATCACACCGAATTTCAAGTTTTCGACTTGTTTCGGTTTCGAAGTAAGCTATTTCAGGATTCAACGATCTCACGCAGTGGTCTTACTGTCATTCAAAGATTTCACGATCTCCTGGGCGCACGCGACAGATGGTGTACGCGTTGCGGAAGAGATTTTCCGCCTGTTCAACAGACTGATTTTAAATCTGATAAGCGTTGCTAGAAACGATTTTGGGATTTTCTGTTTATAGAAACAGCTCTGGGAACGATCTCAGAAACGTCTCCAGAAGTGGTTCTTAGCGCGTTCAAAGAAGCTTTTGCGCGATTCTGAGAGTGGTTCCAGAATCGCACATTCCAGTAGCTCTGAAAATTTCGTGGCGCGTGATAGGGGCTTCATAAAGAAGAGCACCGAGTGGAGAAATCTCGGCTAAATACATTTTTCTAAGGAAAAGTGCAAAAAACTAAGGAAAGCATCGCGCTCGCCCGTTTTTTAGCAGATTCCTAAGGAAGAGTGCAGATTTCCAAGGAAGGAGCGCGTCTAAGGAAAAGTGCAGATTTCTAAGGAAATATCGAATTGATCCTTAACTCTCGAAAAAGGTCATAACTTGGCGTAGGATGCCAGCTTAGCCTTGAGGTACAGTTTGGCCTTGGGTTACGCTCCGGCCTTGGAGAACTGTAGGGTATATGTACCATTCAATGCAGCTCAGAAATCTTGCTCCCTTATGCTATTGCCAATTCGACTCGCTCACAGACTCGCTCGCCGACGGTTTCACAAGATCGACGGTTACATGGAGAGACTTACCCTGCTTAAGATTGATACTATGAATGCCAGTGTCTATTGATTCAATGATACTGATCTGCCTCATTGCAGTGTGTAATCTCGTACTCAATAGTCTCCTCTTCCCATGGACAAGCCTGCGGATTTGCGTCTATCGAGTGGTGAAGATCTTGAGCCTCAGCCTAAGCCTACACGGCCCGCTACAGTATTGAGTACCGTTATACCACCGTCCGGTAGCACGTCTCAACACGCCACCATGGACTCTAACAGGACTATCCATGAAGCTGGAGGGACCTTCTATGCTGGGCCTCCAAATGATGACCCAAGGGTCACTTCGCAGTCAAGTCCTAATATCGAGCACAAGGCCAAGAGCCCGACTCTGGAAGATACTTACTCTACCTACCGCGCCATCATTGGCTCCGATGGGTCGTGCATCCACGACACTAACTACTCTGATTACACGGAAGTGCGTCTGACGTAACTCGTATCCTCGTAGCGCCACGAAGATGGTAGCCGGATTCCCTGCATCGTCGGCGTTGGACAACCCTGCCTCTGTGGTGATATTGGCATTTAAAATGCAAGCTTGGTACCCTCAACTACACCGATGGTATGGTTCATTGAAGGGTCTTTATGACGGCTTTCCTGACATCGCGTCTTTTCTGGATCAATATGACATTACTGAAGGACTTCGGCAACTCGCCAGGTTGGTCGCTAATGAAGGTTGGGGCCCAACCGTAATGGCTGCTCTGATCTGCGAACACGCATGCCGCAAACCTGAGTCGTCGAGGAGCCGATCGATCGCGTTTACTCTATACTCCCTCCTATCGGCGGATAACGAAGACGAATTGGTCCAGGGTTTGAGGAAATCAGCATCCCCCGCCGACCAAGTCCGGTATGTGAGCATCCAGGACATGTCCAGTATCAGGAGCAAGCACTATGCGAGGATCCTAAGTGTTGACGAGCGCGATGGCCCGATGTGGAAACTATGCCTACATACCTCCCTCGCCTCACTGCAAGCTGCGGAATACACTCCCCTTAATGTCGAAGATCTACGTTATCGCTGGTCATCTATCTCACAGAAGAAAGATGAGTACATCGTGGACTACGCGGCGCGAGAGTCGGCTAAGTATGAGAACTATGCCAAAGCTCTGATGCACCTGGGCATAACAGCCCCTTCTCCCTACGAAAGATTGGTCTCTTTCGCCTCACGACTTCAACCAAACATGAAGACTCTCCTAGGTAAGCATATGCGATCCAAAGACCTGACCCTGTATGCCTCTGATTATGATTACATCTGCCGCACTCTGATTAAATTGGAGAAGACCTACTATGTGACCTATGAATTCGAGACGCATGGTATCAAGACGACACGCAAACCCGATGACTGGATTCCGGTTATCCAAACCACCAAGCCTCTCTCTGGTGCATCAGATGGCCCATATAAAGGCAAACCTAAGCATGACTGTCCTCATTGTGGAAAAAAGGGAGTTCGCCATCCGCCTGACCTATGTTACTCTAATCCCTCTGGGAAAACTATGGACGGCCACAAAGACAAGGCTACTGATACCTCTAGGAATGCTGCTTCTCGCACTATCTCTGCGGCGCAAAGCTCTGCCGTTCCACAACCCGAAACTGCGGTGCCTCAGTTCATGGTTTTGCACTCCGGAAGCAATATGTCGGTTGAGGACAAACTCCATGTGCCGTGTGCCTCCGTTTGGTTGCTGAAAGCGAGAGGATGCAAAGTTGTCATGGGCATCGACTCCTCCTCTGAAGTTACTATGGTGGATCGAAAAGTGGTGTCAACTCTCGCTAGTCCTGGCGCATCCCTAGAAACTAGAGAAGTGAGGAAGAGGACATGTCGAGCGGCGTGTGGCAGCCTATTCACCATCTCGCAAGATTATCTACTTCGGCGGATACTTATGATGTACTTATCCGCATTTCCGCGAGTTAGGGACGAGATAAGGCAAACTGATTGGGCCTCACCGCAATCTCAAATGAGTCCTTGAGGACGTGGGTTAGTGGAACGAACTGACGCCCTTGCTCACCTTGCTCGAAAAAACTAACGTTAGATCATAAATGTTCCCAAATTGAGGGCGAGTCCGAGGGGCTTGAGTAAAGTTTGCTCAGTAAACTAACCGGTTCTCATCCTTGAGTGAGACTATCTTATCTTAGGTTCTCGAGTTCTTTACCGTTTGAAGGTAGCCTACCTTTAAACGGTAAAGAACTCGAAAACCCCTTTTACTTACCTACCTTAGCTAGGTAAGTAGAAGGGGTCTCGATTAAACACGGTCTTGCAATTGCTCGCTGATAAAAGATTTGCACCGTCAATTACCAGTCGACATTCGCAGATTTTGTGAAATCCTTGAGAAAATACATGCATACTGCGATGATTATAATATGATCTATGCGCTATTATGATGATCCTTGTGCTCTCAAGGTCTCGTGTACTGTTGCCGTCATACATGAAGCTGATAAAGATGATTGAATGTCACCCAAAACGCAGTTTTGGAAAAAATTGAGAAATATTTCAAATTTTTCAGAAAATTTCTGAGAAATTCAGTAATATCTCAGGTGAAATATTTCACGGTCTGGCGGCACCTTACTTCAGCCACCCTGCTCCCCTCCACGAGGCGGCCAATACATCACCCTTCAAGTGGACGGACGAGTGTATCGCAGCCCAACAGAGCCTCTTGTATCACCTTGACAATGCTCCGAGGGCCTACTTAGCCTATGAAGACATCCTCAACATGGACAATGCTGAGGCTTCCTTATGTATTACTACGGACGCCAGCCAGATCGGTATTGGAGCTCACTTATGGTATGTTCGTAAACCGGCAAGGGAGGTTTCGATACCTGCGAGTTGGAGGATTGGCCTACCTGATCAGTGCCCACAGCGCCCTACTTGATCAAAGCCAACAACAATGGCATGTATTTGAAAAGGAGAGCTATGCAATTTTTCAAGCCTTCGCAAAGTGGAGAGCATTAATCATCAGTGTTAGTCGACTGTCACGAAGTGGCGATGAACCATCGGTGGTGCTATTTAGCGACTCTACAGTGGCACTGGCAAAGTTCATGAACAACAATGACGAGGATCTGTTCTCCGGTAAGACTGCTATAAAAGCCCGCCGATTTCGGGCATGGCAAATGGAGATGTCCGAGTTCGACTACGTCAACATCAGGATGGCACATGTTCCAGGAGTATGTAACGTCCTATCCGACCTCTTCAGTAGATGTGCAGAACGTCTTGAACAAAGCCACATGACCCCTGTCGATGAAATGGCGAACGAGGCTCCCACAATGCCAATCTATTTGCCTACTTATGGAGAAGCACAAGAGGAGGACGGCGACAATACTGTCGGTCACATCTACACTGGCGCTATCTATGACTATGAACTTTCACACCTGGCTATGACACCGTCCCAGGCCGAGATCATCGCGGATTCCTATGCGGTTGATGAAACCATGTATCTGTCAGTCCGACTCAAGGCAGTCTGGGCCGCAGCTAATGGATTGCTGGACTCAGAGACCTACTCGGACATCACCAGCGTGGAGAAGGCCAAGGCAGTGGCATGGATTGAAGCTCGCAAGTTTATCACGTCTCTGATCTGTAAGGAGAATGGCGCTATGGGCCTCTTTACACAGAGTACCAACAGGGAGCAAGACTTGCGGAAGCTCCCATGGGTGCTGGTGATACCTGGCCCTGCAGTATTTGTTAACGAGTTAAGGCTGGTTACGGCGTACGATCCTCAACAACAACTACAGTCTGCTCGCCAAGGTCTGCTGCTCTATGCCCACGATTGCAAAATTCACGTACCCTATGACAGAGCGCTACGCGTTCTCCAAGCTATTGCCTGGTGGCCTGGTATGGGAAGCGACCTTCTAACGCACATAAATGACTGTGATTTGTGCTTACGGCTTTATCCTTCGAAGCATCTACCATATCGCGGTGTGACTTCCTGTGAAACTATCGCCGTCTCTCCCTGTCACCTGGAGGTGAGGCGTGAGGAAGTGGACCGTACCCGAGCCACTCCGGCGGTTGAGGGCACTGTGGACCCTGCTAAGCTAAAGGAAGGAGATTGTGTACTGGTTCGTTTGGTAACGGGTGCTGATGTTCTGGGCTTGTATGCGTGGCCTAGTGTAGACAGGGTTTGCCCTTTGGGCACGGGCGGAAATTTCCGAAGGAAATTTTCGAGAAAATTTCAGAAATTTCCGTTGAGGCTGGAAATTCTTGGAAATTTGCTAAAAATTCCCAAAAAATCGTGCCCAGGGTAGTAGAGAGGAGAGAAGTAGTTCAGATTCACTCATAATGGCCGAATAAAGCTAGTGAAGGCGTTCGCAGGTGTCTACTGGTCACTATGAATACATCTTGCGGTTACCCTCAGTCTGAGGGCCTCAGATATCGATCAGGTGGGCGTGCGCGTGAGCCTCTCAAGAGTTAGCGATTCTCCAACTATCTTGCAATCTTGCGTTCTCTCTCTCGAGAGTCGAATAGTGTCGGCAATTAAAAGGTAAATCGTAAGGCTACAGGGTACGATCTAAGGACAAAATCTCGCTCGCCCTCAGACACTTTCTAAGGAAAATTTTGCCATTTTCTAAGGAACTTCAGCCTTTTCCTAAGGTACTTCTGCCTTTTTCTAAGGAAGCCACCTCTCCACTAATGGGTCCTTCCGGCCTTGTTTTGCAGCTTCGCCTTGGATAACAGTCTTGCCTTGGATAACAGCTCGGGTTTCGGGTTGCCCTGGATAACAGTTCGGGTTTCGGGTTGCCCTATCCGGTTTCGGGTGGGGTTTCGGGCTTCCCTTCCCCCGCTTTCACCTACAATCCTTTTTTTTCTTTTTGGTTTTGCGGTTTGGGTTTTGCCTTGCTGTTAAGGGATCTGGGTTGCTTATCTTTCACTGGTGACCCAACTCCCTCGTACGTTTAGAAATCTGTTAGTGATCACGAAGTTTCTCGTGATAATGTGTTGCTCTGCAACGTAGCTGCCCATAGCCACCTCGACCTTCCTTGCGGGTTTGATCTGCCAAGCTGAATCACGAAGACCCCTTCCACTAACGCAACGTTTCTTAAGCCCTCTCAGGACGCTTACTCCTCGCCTGCCCGGAGCTCGCGGCAGCGGAATTCAGTTAGATACGTCATCACGTAGATAAGTACACCGAGGGGTACTTAGAAAGGCCAATCGGCGGCTACCGTGCTGCCAGCACGTTTAAGTGAAAAATGGGCGAGCGAGATTGTTCCCTTGGAAATGGAGATCTTCCTTAGATTTTACCTTTTCACCTAGGAATACGTTGAGAGAGTCCAATCCCACCTTAGAGTGCAAGAAGTACACGTACGCGCATGATGAAGTCCTCAAGGGTCAAACCAAACTACTTGGTAGTTGCTAAGGCCGCCTTGGTGAATAGTGCATGCCCTTCGATCCCCTATCCGGGCTGTCCGTCCTTGGTGTAGCCAAGGCTGCAGTCATTCCTCTCAAACTGGCTTGTGCTGGAGGTAGACCCCACGATCTCTGTTATTTATGATAACTCTCCTTAAGGTGCTTCTAGTGGTACCCATGCTGTCCCTGTAGTAGCTGCTGCTACCCACCTCCTTGAGCCCTCTAGCCTCGCTGTAAAGGCATCAGCCATGCTGGGTAAGTGAGCCTTCCTCTACACCAACCAATAGATCCATCGTAGGTAGCAAGACAGGAGCAGCAGCAGCTACTGGCACTGTGGCTCCCCAAGGTCAATCCATCATCGACTCGGGGCAGGATCATCCCTTCTGGTGGCGAGTCACCCATGAGGTCCGCTAAACCGTCACGATATTCTACGAACCCCACCTGAATGCCCTCAGGGTCATGGCCTTACCAATGAACAGCTCCAACACCCCGAAGTGATGGGCATTACAGCAGAAGATGGTAAGCTGATCTGCCCGACTACTAAGTGGCTATATGATTGCTATTGCCAGTACCAGTGAGCGCAGTACCCGACCCTTATGCTATGTCCACGAAGGCTACAGGGAGCCTACTCGGGCCATGGCACCATAATGATATCCCCCAGCATAGTATCAAACCCAGCACTGATATGAACCAAGTCATACAGCAGCCCAATGAGGTTGACTATGCCCATCTCACACAAGGAGAGCGGCTCGCCTCTCAGTTGAAGGCAGACTTGATGAAGAACCCGAAGTTCTCTAATCCCATGAAGATGTACCAAGACATGGCTGCTGAGTTGAAAGCCCACGTAGGGTCCACTTCTAGCCTGGCTACTCACAGTCACCTTTAGTATCCCCATTTCGGTACCATCACCACTAAGGAGAGCTCCTTCGTGTTGGCTCCAGGTGAGCAACAGCAACCCCATCTAATAGATGGCATCTATACCACACCTTGTCGTCATCATCAGCAACTGCCTCACTATTGCCGACTTATAATGGTAGAGTCCCGCTAGACTTCCTCGACACTGTAGCAGCAGATGATGGCGAGGAAGTGACCATCATCACTTCAGTGTTGCAAGGTAGGACCCTCTATACTGTAGAGTAAACCATTTTCCGGAGCTTGGTTTCCGAGATGAATTCAATTCCGAAGTTACGGTGGTTATAGGCTACGCTGAGAACATATATCTTACTACATTAGAATTCCTATTATATTATTTGCTACATAACCAGTTGGCACTCTTACTATTCCGAAAACATAGCCTGGCACATCGGTCAAGTCCATCTCCACAACTAAGAAGGTCCATTCGTAGGTACCGCTAAGGCCATCAGCGGCTTCTGCCGCGGCTACGCTAGTTCGTGGAGAAGTATGTCGACAGTGATGGTTGAGATCATAGCGTGATGATAATGTATTCCCAATAACGATTGCTTGGCTCTCCTTGGTGTTATCAACGACTACGTGATGATTATTTCTACTGCGTATTATACTCGTGTTTGAGTGACGCCAACCCCCGTTGAGAGCCCTTACGTAATGCCAGTAGACCCCATCACGGGCTCAGCTCTGGCGGTGAAGGCCTTGTGCGTTCTGCCACTCAAAGTAGCAGCAGTTGGTGGCGGATGTAACCTCTCTACTACACTTACGTACTACTACTGACTATTCAGACCATACTGCTGCTACAGCTGTTGTAGCCGCGGCTCCCACTCCAGAGATTACTAGCTTCGGTGCTTATGGTCCTCCTGAGATCACCACCATGCAGCCCACGGTCCAATTGAACCCCGCTGGAGCACCGTTGCGTAAGTTGGATTGGAATATTTAATAATATTTTTTATCGTTTCAGCAACTGTTGACATACCGCCCCCGCCCGAACTGACATTTCCTCCTGACGTGTTCACTAACATTGAAGGACTCGTCAACTCTATCACGGTCAGTTGCAGCAGCCTAGTGGTGTGATTCTGGGTATCTCCATGTCAGCTTCCTGATCCGACTACCTTCACCGCGGGAGCTCCAGGGACATACCATGAGTTCCCAGGGCCCATCGACATCAGCAGTAGCACACCTCCCTAAACTGTCATCATGGAGTCTCTTTGTCGTCTTCTTAGCCGGCCATGCTGTACCCAGTGTAGATGGAGAAATCAGGACAGCCGCTGACCTGGGCATGCAAGACCTCGTCGATAGAGCTAACGCGGTAGCAACCGCTCTGTCGGTGGTGACAGCAGCTCTCTTTGTCAGCTCAATAAGCAATTATTCGGCCACCCAAACACGGGTGTCCCGTCTCAGATGTATAAGGACGTCTATAATGAGATCGTCAACAGAGTAGGTTTCCTTGCCTCATCGGATATAGACTATTTGAACTTCGCCAGGCCCATGCACTTGGAAGATACGACGTGTTCCCACGTATAGGAAGTGCTATCACTGACGCCATCGGTAGTCAACCTGAGCTAACTCGTGAGTGAGGGCATCGTAACAGTACCCAAATTGGTGTCCAATTTAGCGGTAGAGCCCTCCGGTGTGAACGGTGTGTTCATCCCTGTCATCGAAGCTGTGCGCGCCACTTGCGGTGACTGTTGCCGTCGCCCTGTCACCCAGGGGAGCTCTTCCTCAAGCAGCTTCCTTGACGTTGAAGGTACGCTATAGTTGGGTATTTAGTGTGGTCCCTTGTGGTGAGCAGATACAAGCTGTTTGAGGAGGGTCCTCGCTGAAACGTACACGGCCTATGCCGAGGCCTG